TTTTTTTTTTTTTTATATACAAAGGGAATTAGAACTCGGGTGCAAAGTGAGGAGCACATCCGCTCTGGCCAATTTCGCTAAGTTCATGTTAGCTGCTTTTCTGGAAATTTAAGCACACTTCATGCAGGCCACAGTTTTGATAGTGATTAAAGTTAAAGAAATCAATTGACAGTAAGGTGAGGTATATTAATTGTCACCATCCTAAAGAGTTATAGAGAAACAGGAACCATACTTTGAGTAAAAGACACGCCAAATGTAACAGTAACAAGGCAAAGCATGCTCAACTTTTCAGACCAAGAAAAAAGCATGCTCAACTTTTGAAGCTTCTCTTTTGGGCCAATTAGTTTGAAAGATAACATCTAATATAATATATATCCCAGGCTCCCAGGTTGTATTAATAAACACTGTAAAGTCACCATGAACAATTTGATTAAATTGATCCCGGTATGTAGTCAACTAGGTGAACAAATTTGACATGTTTAGGTATGACTTAGCTAGCAGAACCAAACCAACTCTCTGGGTTTGACTACACAATGGAATTTTTTTCTCGGAGATTGAAAAATCATCTGGGAGAAGGAAAAAAAATAGAAAAATAAAAGGGTAATTTATTGGGGTTTAATATTATATTTGTGAACAGAACATGGTGGTCCCTTCTTTAAGCTTCAAATTCATTTATAATATGCTACTATAACTAATATGTAAATTACTGTGGACAGAGAGAGAGAGAGAGAGAGATGGCAATGGGTCAGGTCAATATAGCTGTAAGGCGGACAAAAAAAACCCACAATTAAATACTGACTCTTAATGCTACAGAAGAGCAGAAGAGAGGAGAGAGAGAGAGAGAGAGAGAGAGAGAGAGAGAGAGAGAGAGCTAGAGGTGCATAAAAAGCTAGCATTTATGCAGATGAGGGAGGAAGATATAGCTAGAGAGAGCTGTAGGGGGAGAATTGTCACGAGGCTTCTTTTTCTCTTACCTAAAACATGCATGCCTCGAGTGTTTGTGTGCCAGGAGCTTCAGCTGGTTGCTTAAAAAGAGCCTTAATTTCCATCAAAGGCCAAACCTTTATGCAGCGTCTTGCTTCTTCTTTCTTCCCTTGTCTGGTTTTGTTGGTTTGAGAGCTTGAAGCTGCCAGCATGATCTGGTATACTTAACCTATAGCTATATCAGCATCACACTACTAGTAATATATATATATATGTATATATTTTAGATCTTGTAGCACCAAATTATAAATATATATGTATGGCCAAATAGGTAGAGATTGATTTTTAGATATACAGAACCAAACTTTGGTGGATGCCATCATTTCTTATAGATCTTGATAATTTCATGTTTTTGAAGAGAAGGGTTTTTAGTTAATTAATTAACCAAGAGAATTGACATCCTGCTAATTACATATATATTTATTTTTTCAATCAAACAATTGCAAGTTGATCAGAAACCTCTTTGAACTTAGTTTAATTATTACTAGCTAGATATATGTAAGGTTCTTCTACCAGGTCATCTTGCAGCTTCAATCACTCACACCAACAATAGAAAAACTTCTTTAGCTAAGGATATATACAAGGGCTCTTCCCAAGCGCAGGTTTTTTTCAGGTATATACATCATCTCTTCTCCAGAAAGCACACACCTTCAGGTCAAAGTTCAAAGCTTGATGAATTCATTACTTGATAACAGCTAGCTATATTCTCTCTCTCTCTCTCTCTCTCTCTCTCTCTCTCTCTCTCTCTCTCTGTGTTTGGTTATGCCTGCATGTTGGTTTTGGACTATGCTGGTAGAATCTAGAATCAGCATATGCAAGACGGATGAAATAAAAGCTTTGAATGAGACAAGTCATAATGGCTATGCCGTATTTTGCCTGCAATTTCTTTATTCAGTTTACATCATTGCCCGATTCATTACCTCACAAATTTAATAGTTTTCATATTTGAAGACATAAACCAAAAGAAATTTTAAGGGTGCATATAAGGATGCACTTAATTATGATTCTACCTTGTTAGTGTACCTTTTCATCAGATCAATCGTGTCTGGTGGTCAAGAAAAGCTAATAAGTGTACTGTATATCTTATGTTCATATGGACCACTAATTAATCTGATGAATTTACAATGTTATCTTAGTTTCAGATGCATCATTAATCAGAGTCAATATTAGATTCTGTATTTGTAAATAAATATTATAAAATTACCTAATCGATACACTAAATTACTAATTAGTGTAAGTATATGTATACTATTAGGCACTTAACCCAATATTCAATGTGAGATTAGTGCTCATAACTTAGTTGGAAATGAAACCCTTCTTCAGATGACTGAGAGTTCTCACATATGTGTGGTTCACTCAAGCTCTTGAGTGTATTATTAACCTAGTAAGCTCTGATTAGCCCAACCAACATGGAATTTGGTAGACATTTCTCGTTGTACACTAATTAACACTCTTATGTGTTTTAATTATTACCGGCCGGATTGTTAATAGAAATCTGATCAGCAATGTTTTGTTTGGTGAATATATTGTGTATATATGTTTCATGTTCATTTTGTGTTTGATTAGTGACAAAGATTACTACTCTTGGCTTTTTGGCCTCAGGCAATAATCAGTATTGTACTTAATTAGTTTCATTTCACCACAATGATCATTTGTTATTATAGAAATCTCATTAGGTGTTGACAGTAAAAGTTGTTAATTATTGTGTATATTCAACCATAATTATGAGTACCATCTAAAATATATATATATATATATATATGCCCGCTTTTTAATCTTTTGGCACAACTGAGCATGTATCTCTTTGCCCAAAATGATTTAAGTGGAAATCATGATTATGCCCTTGTCTATCTTCACTGGATTAAAATGATTCTATGATTTAAGTATTAGCATCAAACCATGAACAAAAATATACTAATTTTAACCAAGATTATTGTGAAAGATTTTGTTCATTAGTCTTTATTTGTTACTTCAACAGGGAGAAGCTTTCACTACCAAAGGGCCTTTCTTTCCAATTGTACTGACATGTATTAGCTTTGTTATGCTTTAATAGGAGATTTTCAAGTTTACCATGTTTATATATTATTAAGAGTCATTTTGAAAAACCTGTAAGAGGGTGTAACAAATGTAATTTGATAATGCATCCATTCTCCTTGTCTTTCTTTATCTTTATTTTTGTGAAAGTTACATCCCTTGGCATATATATAAAACCCAGACATTTTGATCTGCTACACAAACTCACTGGTTTCTCAGATGATATAGTTGAGATATATGGTAGAAAATTTGTTCTTTGAGAAATATTAACTGTAGCTGCAGATTTATATGGTAACTCAGAAAACATGCATGTACAAAAGGGATTGTGTTTATAGGTTAATCTGATGATTGTGGTGCTAAACCTAATTAATATGAATTTTAATGATTGTTTCTTTGTGATTTCTGTCAGTAGGATATAGCTTTCATGACATAATTCATGTATGTTAATATCTGAACTACCATCTAGGAAAGTATGTAAAGAGGTCACTGTGCTATTAATTTAACAAATAAACAAGTTTAAAGGTTCAAGTTTAACCTCAACAACTAAAGCTTTGAAGCCTCAGCCATCAAAGTAAAAAGTAAAAAGTACTTTAGGAGACTTAGACATGACCCAATCAAAAACTGCTACCTAGAAGAAGTGCTGTTCTCCTATTTTATATTTATAAATATCCTTGACCCCATTTACTTTTGGACTCAGGGTTTATATTATAAGTTAAAGCTCACATCATTTGGGTACAATTAATCAACATCTATCTACTTCAGTGCCCTAGTAGCTTGACAAAGAACAAATCAAGCTCTTGCTTTTAACTACCAGATGCTATGAATTAACACGTATCAAATAACATCATGATGGTTAATTATGAGCCACAATAGGAAGTTTGAGCAAACTTTTTCCCATCTGCCATCCAATAAAACTAAACTAAGATCAGTCTTACATAGAATATATAGTTGGAAAACCATAGATAGCAATCAGTAATCAGTCATGGACTGATGTTAGCCTCCCTAAAGCATGCACTTGCACCTGAATTAATCATCAGAATCAGCATCCGAATCCTCCGAATCCGAATCTGAATCACAGGCCTGGGATGACTTGGAAGCCACCTTAATCCAGAGTCCCTCCACCTCTTCTTCCCGTGGCGTGACTTGGAAACATCCTTTGATCCCTTTGATTTGAAAAAGTTCATCATCATCATCATCATCATTAGATTCATCACCTGAATCACTAAACGCGTAGCTCCCATCTTTGTCCACAGAAAAAGGCCCCAAAAATTCCCCACTGCCATCATCCTGTGTGAAATTTTTATAGACACACATAGGTAAGGGACGCATATAGGAATTGAAGATTAGTACACATTTACTAAGAAATTAAAGAAGGAAATTATAAACTGTTATATCAGAAAAACAAGTTATGTATTCTACCTTTCTGCAAATCCACTTAAAATAGAACAGTTTGAGTTTCTCGTGCACATGAAAAGAGCCAATAACCTCTATCTCCATCACAGGCATGTCTTGTCCTTCATCCGTGATTGGTTCCCCTCCCCTTTTCAGAATCCTCAAACCACCACACCCCATGCACTTTGGGCACTACACATATACATACATCAATATACGTGTCCATTATGTCACACTTATGCATTATGCTAAGCAAAATCACAAACAGCTATATGTGATGCAAATAAAACTCAAGCACTACACTAGTACTTACAGCTAAAGCTTTATGATATTGGGCATCTTCCATCCTACCTGCACATAAGTATAATGGAAGATAACCAATTTCCAATAGCTCTCTGTTACAATTTTTGCAATCAACTTGGATGTGGTAACAAAGGAAAGGGTTCTTCCAGCCACCTTCTGGCTCAACTTGAGTCACTCCATCAAGACTGTCGATCGAAATGTACAAAATGAGCCGGCAAGTCCTCGACATTGTACCTAGTTCCCTTACACACTCACAGTGCAGATCAGAAGCAATAATACTAGTCGAATGTACCTTAATCAACAACTTAACTTGTGACCTCTCTCTCTCTCTCTCTCTCTCTCTCTCTCTCTCTCATTGAGTTGTTTAAAGCACCACAAAATTTACTATTGTTCAACTTAAGAGCATCACCACCATTAGAAACAGAGGAGCATATACGTTTGAGGTTGCTTATAGAGCCTCGTTCTGCTTCTGGTTGGCTTACATTTAATGCAATGCTATGTTAGCATCACATATACAATGGGTGTTGTGTTGGTAAAGCCAATATACAGCTAGAAAGAGAAAGTGAAAGAGATCAAAAGCTTCACCCAAACTGCCCTGTGCATCATGTAACATGTTATTTTGCCAATTTGTACTACCATTTCATTTTCTCTTTCCCCTTTCTGGAATTCTTTTCTTTGGACCTTGCACCAAGAAATGGACTGCAAGGAGTTCTCTAAATGCTTGTACTCAATGCCAAGATGTGTTATGTTCCTGGAAACAGTAACTCTTGTTACACAATTTTCATCTTTAACATCCTATTCTCAATCCACTTTTGTTCTATTTTTCTGAGTTGAAAGTTGAAACTGACCCCAAGTCCATGTCAATTTTTTTTCTTCTTCTTGTCTTCTTCAGCGAAAAGGTTAGGTGTGAAGCCCAGTAAAGTTATTTAAATCCTTTTATTTCTTTATTCGCATATTTATTTATGGGGTTTAAGATTTACACCAGTTCTTTAGTGAGCATTTGGATTTGCAGTTCTTATAAGTATCACATGGCTACTTTTGCAATATGGGTATAGAAAGGAGAGACAGTGACAAGGATCACTCCATTTCACCGCAATGAAGCGATCACTACTTGAAAGAGTTCTGTAACCACAATTTCTCACAAAAAGAAGTTTTAAAACAGATGACATAAGAGCATACGTCATTTGAAAATGAAACGCAAAACAAATTGGAAATAGTAGAAAATGTCTCATTTGAAGCCGCATTTACAAATATAGCCACAATGTGAGTTCACTTACAGACTATTAGACTTAAGAAGATACAAATGGTCTACTCCACCTTGCTCCCTCCTTTTCTACCATAAAAAAGAAACCCTCAATTAGGCTCTGAACAAACTAACGTTGCTAGCCAAAAGTAACATTTTACATTCTGTTGGATTCCAATAGCTGCTTATGCTCCCAACTTCAGGAGTGCTAATGCTATAAGTATTTTCACCAAAGTGATACAAATCAAAAGTAAAAATGAAAGCGGGGTACGACCTAAACATCTCTATAAAACATTGTATCCTCCACATATACGACCTATACTTTTTATCCTTACCAAAATATCCAAGATTCCATATAGCAACTGATGCAGGAGAAGATATGACCCAATGTAGTGCACTGCAATTACACTCCGGAATAAAGTGTAACGGAGAATTTGAAGCCAAAGTGAAGCAACTCCTCGTATGAAAGTTACTTCAAGAAAAGAGAGTTAATTTACTTATTCCTACTTCATTTGGGTCCTTTAGTGCTAAAGAGAGAGTTGCAGTTTTTTCTTCTCTTCGGTTCTGGCTCACCTAACTGCAACGAAACAGAAATCTCTTCATCAGGGCCATTCTGCAATGCCAAAATGTTTTTTGATAGTGGGTTTTCCTCTCGATTGCTTTGATTTACTGGAGATTTGCAGGTGGACCTTGGAATGAATTGGTGTTCTACATTCGGAGCAGTTTTAACACCATTTTCTATGTGAAAGTCACCATGAATGAACGGCCGACTCAGTCCCTGACAGGACTCACCTTCAAAAGGAATTTTCTGAAGATTGAAACCCAGATGTCCGTAGTCATCTTCTAGCTTGTCTTTAGATGGAGCCCGGACAGCTGGGGATGACTCCACTGTGGAACCAATCCCTGCAGCTGAAGCATTTCGTTGCTCTTGGATTGCAGCTATGTTAAAATGAAGCAGCAGAGGAGTCAGGAAAATATGCTGAACAAAGCCAAATGTCAGCAAAAACATAGGACTTCATCCATCTTTTGAGAGTATGAACACAGTGGTAGACTAAAAACGGCAAAACCAAAAAAGAGGGGAAAAAACATTTGGTTGGTTCAGAAGCACAAACCTTGAAACCCTTCATTGGTTGTTATAAGATCAAGTTCAAGGAGGTCAAGAAGGCGCCCAAGATCAACTCCACTAGTCCAATTTTCAGGTGGTTGGCCAATTTTTAGTTTCAAGCGACCACGGTTAGCTGTTCCACCCCAAATGATCCCAACAGGTCGTGGCTTCTCCCCATTCTGACCAGTCAATAGAATGAGACTTCCACTATCACCTTCAAGATCAAAACTCTGCCGATTCTCACCAACAACAAGAAAATCAGTAAAGAAACAAATCCCTTTCTCGTCATTGTATTCTAGAGCATACGCCATGACGGTCCCAGTAGTCAAGCCTGAACTTCTCCCAACTTTCATCACTTGCCTTCCAATAAGACTGTCGATTGGTGACTGCAAGTCTATGATGTTGACATCACCAATCTCACCTACGCCTCTTACAGTCGTAATTACATTGTTCATGTTGAAATCTTCAGCAAAAGGAATAAAGGCACCATCAGCTCGCACAAATGTTTCTGCAGGGGCACCAAATCATAATGGGCACGTGCAGGGGGTCAGAACACAATGAGAAACCCACTAGAACAAGTGTGAAGTAACACAAATATGAGAAACTACACAGCAGATCAAACTCAATTCTTGAAGAAAATAACCAGAGAAATCAAGAATATTTCTTAACTGGAAAATAAGATTAACAACATGATGTATTGTTAAGCTTAGTTTCAATGCATCCTATTATGAAAAGTTAAATTTATATTCAATTTCTTAAATGCTATGGACATGATTTCTTTCCTTCTATTTTGATTTATTTTTTGTTCGATTTTGATGAAAAGTCAAATTTATATTCTATTTCTATTTTCAATACATCACATTATCTGAAGTTTTAAACTCAAGCACCTCAAGTTGGTCTGCATTCATCATCATCGAACCAATTCAGTGTTTATATCCAGCTGGAAGTATGACGTGCCTTGTATTGTTTGAACCTATTTGTGCCTCCTTAAACTCTTATTAGTTGTCTGCTTCTAGTATCTTGTAGTCAATTAGGGAGTGACCATTAGGGGTTAACGTATTGTAGTTACACATTTATTTATAAAACTTATCATAATTAATTAATAGTAATTGTATGTCTCTGCCTTCCGAATACATCAGTTGAAAGTTTTAAATTCTTAGACAATGTAGACACAAACTAAAGTATTTGCCCCTATCCTCTAGAGACACTTTCAAGCTCATAAATAAATACTGCTGACTATTTGCAACCATATCTGCCCATAAGCTTAACTGATAATCGAAATTTGGAACTGCATTACCTGGGTTTGTTCCAGCAAATATGCCATACCAAAGATCATCTGTGATAAAAGATGTTGCCCTCTCCACAGCGCCGAGATACACCCCAGGTCCAAGGCTTGGTGGCAAAGGATGGAACATTTTCTGGTTTGGATAGTCCAAATCAACTGCCACATGCCGATTTGTGAGAAAACCAACCTGTCGATTTCCTGTTCGGCTTTTAACAATAGCACCCAGAGTTCCATAAGTCTCCTGGCTAGCAACCTAAACAAGCAAAAAACAATTAGGTAAACTTAACTAGTTGAGACACAAAGAAATCAATGTATATACAGATCCCATCAATAAATTTGACATTTAGGGTTTACTACTATTCCTAAATGCCTAAAGTGTTGGGATGTAGGCCGAATATTGTTTCTATACTCTAATAATCCCCCTCATGTTGGGCTTCTCCCTGGCACTAGAGAAATCAACACATAGAAATAAACATAAATTGAGAGGTTGCAGCGGCATGGATATGAACTCAAGATCTCTCACTCTAATATTCTGATAAGTTTCGTCAGTTTACCATTGTTCCCAATTCAGCTCCTTGAAGTAGATAGGCATATAAGGCGAATAAAAATTCATGTTTATTATTTATTTTGTTAAGTTCAATGAGCAAATTTACTAGCCAAACAAGACCTATCCAAATTTTATATAAAACTGATTCTGTTTAATACCAAATCCAGCATACCAACGCATATTTTTAGCTTGTATTCTTATTGTTAGTTGACAAGCTTATCTATGAGAAGATCCAGCCCTAAAGCAACTCATACTATTAAGTAATTAAGAATATGAACCAAACCTGAGTGAAACAATGATAACTTTATTTAATATTGCAAACTACCCCACCAAATTCATTATCTCATCCTTGAATAGTTTTTTATTGGAGTGGTAAAGACCTCAGTAGCACCTAGGCTACGTTCCAGTCTCTATATGGGTATTTTCTATCTATATTACTTAACTCGAACTTGGAGATCAAACACCAAATTACCACCACCACAGAAAACAAACATGACAGCAATTTTCTTAAGAAAATACCTGGGAACCAGAACCAATGCATGGATCACTTCCCCGCAAGCCATCTGCAAGCACTGTATACAGCTGTTCTTTTGGAGTTGGAGCCGGGGAACCATAATAGGAAAATTCTACAACATCCACATCACACCATACACCTCCTGGCCCCTGCACCATTTTTTATATGCAGAAACCAAACAAAACAATAACCTCGTCAAAGATCAAAATAACCAATTAGCATTTTTTTTAAAAAATAACTTGCAAGTTTTTAACAAGCCAGTAGTTTATACATTCTCAACGGCTTTTACAAAATTGCATTATTTCAACCAACAGAAAAATACACAAAGCTCATCATTCTGACCAGCCTCGTGATTGAAAGAAAATAACTTAAAACAAACCTCAATAATAATATACAATGGCACAGATAATATAAAATCTAAAAGTCAGAATGTAGAAAAAGGACACCAAAATTTTCCACCTCAAGGGCAGCAGGTAGACACTGCACATGGCTTAGCCATTGCCTGTGAGCTTTACGGGCAACAAAGACAAGAATGGCTGGAATATCTGTTAAGACGCCTTTTCGAATCCGAAACCCAATTGCGGTCCCAAGACTAAACCGGCGCAAGATCTTGCTATGGAATGCCCTAATGGTCATCAGCTCAAGTAAGGTTGTAGCCTGCTGCCCTGATGGCAACCGGCCCAAAGTTTCAGGAAGAACGTCCTTCTGAAGATTTCCAAAATAGTTTGCTCTATCTTCTGCTGCATCATTTAACCGACTCAAAGTGGGCCACGAGAAGTAGGCGGCATTGCTCTCAGAGTGCTGACCACTAGATGCAAAAGGCTGGAGGGCCGATGGACTTGATGAAGGAAGATTAGGATGATGACTGCAGTAATTTCTTTCCAAGTCTAGAGCAGACTCCTCAGACTGTGCTGATCCAAAGTGATGAAACCTTAAATCTAATCTGGTCCTGTCCATCTTCCAGCTCTCCTACGTGATATAAATACATCTCTCAGGAGATCCATATTTATGGTTAAGAAGTACAAAATCCTAAAATATAACCTACAAATTCATTCTTGTTGTTGTTCAGCCTTTAAAGATAACTTAAAGGAGTTTAGACTTAAAAACACAGAAGCACTGCATTACAGAACAAATTTGAACCCTTACTTAAAAGAACCAAAAAGGTAGATAAGAAGGGCAGAAAGAAATAAAGAACGGGCAACAAGGAAAAGATAAAATTAATCTAATCTGAACTGAACTCCTAAGAGGTGCAGAAAAAATATGGACCAAAATAAAGTAAAATTAAAAGGTGGAATGATGAATATTAACAAGAGGACAATGGTACAAGCTCTTTTGGCACAGATTGTATATAGAGAGCACAGGAGCTCTCTAACTTCTTGTCTCAGAGGAGACACTAATATAAGCTGTCATTTAACCAAAAATTTCATTTTGGATACATTTAATCATGCCAAGCATACCGAAAGAGCTATGAAATTCAATTTTTGGCCTCAATCATGTTTGAAAATGCATCCAGAAAACTAAAAAACAAGCATTTTATAAATATTAGCTACTCCTCTGTTACAAAGCTCAAGAGGGCTTGCAAACTCTTCAAAATGTATCTGGGGAAATGAATCCCACAGTAAAGATTGGAACTTCAAGAAAATTCATGGATACACGACAAGAAATAACACACAAAATTAAAGCAAAAAAGGGAAAATGAGAGAAGAGACTGAACCCAGACAGCACAACACCCCAAATTCATGAAATAGGTAGACGTAAAATGAGCAAATGGTCCTAGATTGTTAGGATTGTTCATAATGAGGGGAGAGATTGAACCCGGAAAGCACAACACCCCAAATTCACACCTTGCACAGAACCCAGATAGAATTTATGAACACCAAAAATATGAACAAAGTTAAAGGCATAACTCAGAGAGAACTCACTGATCACTAATGGTGGAGCTGTGGAGGGCTCAAAGCAAAGCCCCTTGAAGACTTTCATGCCCTAGTAAAGATTTTCCCGCAAACCCATCATCTAGAAGATCAAGATTGTGTGCTACAATCACTTCATCATAGAATCTAATTACCATCCAGCACAAAGATTAGTATTGTATGTGTGCAAAGAGAAAAAGTGACAAGAGTAAGGAAAAGAACATCTATATTTAGAAAGAGAGCTTTAAAGTTTAGAGAATGAGAAGGTTATACTTTCCACACTTTGGACTTTGGAGAGAGAGACCATATAATATCTAGTATCTGGTATTTGTTTTATAAAAATACAAAGAACCATTTAGGAGTATTTGTTTATAGCACCCTTTTTTCCTTTTCCTTTAGTTTTCTTTTTTTCTTTTTCTTTGCCCTTTTTGCACCTCATCACATTTCTTGGTGGGAAGTTTTAATGGAGGAGAGATTGGGAGAGAGCAAATTGATTTTCTTGGATCCCATTGATTTTTTAATTTGGTGGTGGGGAATAGGGTCCCATCCATATTTGCTCCCCAAAAGTAGCACACTCTTCATCCTAATAATTCAATTCCCATCTAGCTATAGGGTTAGAGTGACCAAATTTTCTTTTTTCATTTTGGTGGTCTTCTTGCATTCTCTTCAGGAATTGTAATATAGATCCTTGCTTAATTCATTTGGGTTTAAATGTTTTTAAGCTATAGTTAATCAAAGGTTTGATAGAAAATTAGACATACACTAGGGAATGATTAGATGTGGGGTATGAGGGAGAGAGTAGGAGACAAACACTTGTGTCCCTCTAATATAATTATAACTTCTCTGCCTTAATGGGTTTTATCTTAATAGTGAAATTTCTCAAAGCTCTCTCTCTCTCTCTCTCTTACATCATGTGCTACTGCCATTATTCTTCTTTGCAAAGGCTATCTAGTAGACCTTGCTAAAGAAAATTGTCTTTCTAGAAGTTAAACTCTCTCTCTCTCTCTCTCTCTCTCTCTCTCTCTCCATCCAATCAGATATCCCTTGCATTATCTTCAACTTTTAGCTCACACATTATCTTCTTCATTCATCTTCTAATTATCATATAATGATAATAATTATCAGTCTCCTCCCATTAAACTATCCACACAAATTGAGATTGCTTATACTAAACAATAGTACTTCCAATATAAGTGATAGTGATACAAACTGATGTATTAATTCTATAACATTTCAGACTTAGATGAACAAGCCAGCAATCACTTTTAGCCTGCCAAGACTTTTTGCTTGGGACCCTTTATAATTGGAAGATTGCAACTTTGGATATGTAAGCTTTTTTGTCATGTATATATTTGTAGTCTACAATTGACAAGGATAAATTTGCCCAGCTAGCTCAAGCATGAGACTGTTTATGAGAGAGGAGGAGGAGAGAGGAATCACAAGACTCCAACAAGGAAATTTCAACAATGCAATTATTGGATCACTGTCCACAATATGGGTTCCACCACAATGATCTTGTTCTTTTGAAAAGGAATTTTGATTTTGTAGGAGCACTCACACAAGTGTCCTTGAGTCCTTCTCTCTAAATTTTTCTTTTTTCTTCCCCCCAGCCTTTTTTTTTTGTCTTTTGTTTTTGCATAATAGGCCCATTTCCTGTTTCAAAAAGTGACTCAACTCTTGAAAAAAAAACTAAATAGAAAAAAAGACAACAAAAATAAAAACAGGCTGCAGCTTCAAATTTTGCTCGAGTGGATTGAAGAAGCAGATCCCACGAGAGATAAGAAAAGGTGCTCTGACAATTCTATTTCTTCCCTTGGCATTAGGCCTTTCCATGGGACATAATTTGTGAGTCAAGCTTCCTCAAAAAGGCTACTTGTTTTTTTTTTTTTTGTTGTCCTGGTTCAAAAGAGGCCTAAAGTAGGAAGAATGTCGAAAACAAGACTCGAAATCGCTTTGTAAATGCATGGGTAAATGCTCTATCTCGGTGAAGTTATAAGTCCCGCAAAGTAGAAAAAGTATAAAAGCTTTTACCTTTACCATCCTCCATTTTACAAACCTAAATCTAAATTACATCAAAATCTTGCAGTTTGTTTTTGGGGAAAAATCAATAACATGCTTTGATATGCAGTTTGGGTCTGATTTTCTTTTTGGGTGAACATTGGTATTATATGATAATGACGGCCCATAAGATAGCCCACCAGGCCAAGTGACGAGCTAAGCCCACAACAAAATTCACACATCAAAGCGCGATTTTCGCACCGCAAACCGCAGCTCAAAACGCAGCAGAGCAGAGCAGAGGAGAAGACGAACGAAAAAACGGAGGATGCCTGAAGAGAAGCAACCGGCGACGACGAAATGCGATCGGCTGCAAAGCGCATTGATGGATTGCCACAGGCGGATCGGGCCGGGTCTGGCTCGCGAGGCGGCGTGCCGGCACTTGAACCGGAGTCTGGCGGAGTGCCTGGTGTCGGTGGCGTGCCCGGAGGAGTGGGAAGCGGTTCGGAGCCTGTGCGGTAGTGGAGGAACGGGTCTGAAGCGGTCGCAGTGCCAAGAGGCTCAGCTCTCGCTCTCAGTCTGCCTCTCCTCTCACCAACACCAACTCAACAACCCAAATGCAGAATAGAAGATATATACATATTTTTTTACTTTTTATTTTGTTAATAATTAGGATGCATAATACAAAAATGTAATTTTGATGGATGAAGCTTTTATTTTATTTTGTGATTGGTTTATTGGATTAAGCTCACACAGTATATCAAAGTTTTTGTTAATAAAAAAAATTATATAACACAACGTTTTGAATAAACAAGGTTACAAGTAAATGTTCATTCACCAATCCCTGTGGAATCGACCTCGCACTTACATACGCTAAACTACCAACGGTTCGTGCACTTGCGAGTATCACAAGTTGAGGATACAGCTGAATCCATTTTGGTGCAGCTGAAATCTGGACAACAGTAGGCAACAACAAAAGATTAATGCCATATTAACTTTCTAACCGATTAGCGCTTTCGCGTAAAATCTGATAATGCACTCCTTGGATTGGCAATCAAGAGTTTAACATAATGGCACAAGACAGATGGTCTGACAAACGAGCTTTACAAATAGAATTAAAACACACAACCTCAGCACACAAATGAAAATGATATCTGTATGTAGTTTATACAAAACTTAGGTAGAAAACCTGTCTCTGTCGTGAGGAGAAGAAAAGTCGATATCTGGTCCGCTGGGAATTATGCCAAATGGATTGATGGAGGGATGGCTTCCATAATAGTGTCGTTTTATGTGATCCATGTTGACGGTGCTGCTCATCCCAGGAACTTGGAAAATTTCTTTGGTGTAGTTGAACAAATTTGGGTACTCTCGTAGTAATTTCTTGTTGCACTTGAAATGCACTGCATAAACCTGTAATCAATAACAAAAACAACATAAAAAAATGAATTGTTTAGACAGTGGAACCATGTGATGTGACAGAAGTTTCGTGCTAAAAAATGCCTAACCGAAAAAACAAGATGTTAGCTAAGCAAAAATATCACATTACGGAATCTTGACAAAATAAAATACAACCTATAAGTGAGTGGTTCCATTATTAATAAGAAATCACAATGAGCTAAAGAAAATCCCAATCCAAGGGAAAAGAAAAGTTTTTGAAGAATGAAGAAGTAATATCCTATTGAAAAATCTGATATGCTTTGGATTTGGTTAGAACAGAATCTTGCATTTCTAGCATGTTCTTGGTTCTCTTCAAACAGAACAATCATATTAGACTGAAAACAATTAAAGTGGCAAATTTTCTGACAGGTATAAATTCTTGCTTGAGGGGAAATATCAGTACCTCATCAAATCTTATAATAGTGACAAACAACCGAATATCTGCTTCAGACAATGTGTTCCCACACAAGTATCGTTGCTTGCTCAGTATCTCCTCGCATTTGTCTAAAGCTTCGTACAATTGTTTCACAGCCTGAAGAAAAAAATATCAACCAACGTGTTTGATGAGGCACAGATAGTCCTTAAAGAGAACATAAACACCAGAACTTCCATAGTCAAAACTAATCAGAGCATGCAAAATATACCTCGTCATAAGGCTCTTGCTTCCTTGCAAACCCACATTTATAGACGCCATTATTTATCTTGTTATATATCCATTCATTAGTCTGATCAATTTGGGATTGCAAGTGAGGAGGATACAAGTCCAAAGCTGCGTTTTCTGCTATATCGTTGAATTCGGTATTGAACATGCGAATAATCTCTGCACTCTCGTTACTGACAATCGTTTTGAGTCTTTTATCCCATAGAACCTACCAAAGCAAAAAGGTCAGTCATTTGGTTTAACAAAAGCAAAAGGAAAAGAAAGATAAAACATGAAAAGGCCACTTAATATGAGTGAACATACTGGAACTGTGTACTTTCCGGTATAGTTGGTGCTTGCAAGCTCATAAAGTTCTCTAATATTTTTTGCTCCATTCAAAGGGTCAGGTTCAGCTCCTGCTAGCTCTGTATCAGAAGCAGGAAAAACCCACCCCATATGCTCATCACTTTCTTTTGTTCTTTCCCATATGGGCTTGACTGACTGAGCAAAACAACAAACACACAAGGTCAGTTTGGCTCTTACAAGGTGAATCTAATATGTGTAACAACTTAATAGAGTTACCGTAAAGCTGATGGCTTTCTCAAGTCCTTTAATTTTCAAGTATGCAAGGCACCTGGAAGCCCAAGGGCAAGCATATGATATATACAGATGATATCTTCCAGGTTCTGCTGGAAACTGCGAATTTGGGTCCCGTGAAATGAAGTTACGGAATACAGAAGCAGTTCTCACAAATGCACCAGATAGTGAGGTCTCATCTAAAGCAGATCGAGCCATTTGATAGTCTGCTGAAGAATCAACACATGCAACAATTAGTTTCATTCCCTAATTATATATGACATCAAGGATATTTCATCCAATGGTTCTAAGAGACTAAAAAAGTACAAAATATTTCCACCCTTTGTGTTTATTTCATCCAATACTGAACAAACAGGGGATCCAATTCCCAATCAAAGGCCTAAAGCAGATCGAGCCATTTGATAGTCTGCTGAAGAATCAACACATGCAACAATTAGTTTCATTCCCTAATTATATATGACCTCAAGGATATTTCATCCAATGGTTCTAGGAGACTAAAAAAGTACAAAATATTTCCACCCTTTGTGTATATTTCATCCAATACTGAACAAACAGGGGATCCAATTCCCAATCAAAGGCCGCTTGAATGGATTGAAAGGAAATCTATTTAATGAAATTTATAACATTTTCTTCTATTCAGCTAGAACTAAGTATAACTAGAAAATCAAATCTTGATTAGAAATTTAGAACTGAAAGGAAATTTTCAAGCTGACTGATGGACCGTTGGATGAGACTTAAGCCAGGCTCTGTTTTCTGGGTAGTTAACTGATAATCTATTTAACCATTCTTAATTTCTTACCCACTGGATTATTGTTTTTGAAAATTCTCCAACCAACCCAATTCATTGTTTTCCACTGGACAGATAGTTCAACAATTCACAATAACTAAATGAATCAAATTAAGAAAAGCACCAGACAAACAATTATAACAATTGAAATCCAGCTGAAGCAAAAGCAACACAATAACAAAATGAAAATTTTCAAAGGAAATTCAGTAGCTTTCTTGCCATCCAGAATTGGAACAATGAGGAACAGCGAAAACTAACAAAAATAAGTTTACCTTCAAGGGGATCTGAGGGAGAGACTGGGGGAAGAGAGTAAAGGAGATGTAGTTGTGGAGGTCCGACCCAGGTATACAAATACTCTTTTATTCTTCCTTCTTTTTTTCTTTTTAAATATTGAAAGTGGTACGAATAGTCTAAGGAGAAAAAGATAATCAATTACTTGACCAAAAAAAAAAAAAAAAAGATAATCAATTACGTCATTTTGACACTCATCCTGTTCTTTTTGTTTGTAAATGGTAGGATCACACGTGCATTGCACGTGGGCCTCTGCCGCATGCGGAATTCCTTCAAGCAATTTGATTACAAGGGATATAGAGTAAAAAGAAAATATAACCCTTCTCCAACTTAACTCATCAAGAGATATCCAACAAGATTGCATGGCAGAAATATCCCCCCACTTCAATTACAGTTGGAATATCAACTGTTCTGAAATTGCAGTTTTGAGTTACAACAAAGCTCCTCAAAGCACAAAAAGAATCACTGGCTTAGCATGCTGGATGCTCTCCAATGAAAGGGACATAAAGACTCGAGAGCCCTTTTGAAGACAGTCATGGCACCTGCTGCACAAGTTCAAGACCAGCAAATTATGTGAGCCATTTTTCAGTATATTTCAGCTGCTAGCCAATTCCTTTAGAGATCCTCTCAGTCAAATCCGAAACAAGAGCATACTTGTTGCTCTCATAGCATGCAGTCTTAAACGCCGCCAATGTCACACGATCCACATTCTGATCCTTGTCCACTAATTTATGAAAGAACAATGCCGCGATGCCCACTTTCTTCTCGCTACAAAGCTTCCTCACCAATGTATTCACTGTGCGGATCCAGAGCTTCTTCTCTAGCCTTTCCAATAAAACCATAGCAGCTGCAGAGTCATCTTTTTTGCAGTACTTGTAAGCCAATGTCAACCTAGTAACTTCACAGGGCGACAGCCCTTTGTCCATCATGGTATCATATAACCTACGAGCCTCTTCCAATTTCTCCTCCTTGCAGAGCCCGCTTATTAGAGCACCATACGTAAAACTATCTGGGGCACAACCATGGTCACCCATCCTATGGAAAAACTTGACGGCCAAGGCAATATTTTCATCCCGACAGTAGCCGCATATCATTGAAGTATAGGTTTCCTTGGTGGGAATCAAGCCAAGCCTTACAGATAACTCAAAAAATTTCTCGCTTTCTTTCATTTTCTTTTGCCTACAGAAGGCAGCAATCAAAGTGGTATATGAATGCATATCAGGCTGCAAACCAACCTTGAGAATCTTGTTAAAAAACACCAGGGCCTCGTTAATATCACCCCTTTTGCAGTGCTCAGATATGAAAATGGTAAACGTGACCCTATCAGCTTCCAATCCTCGGCGAAAGCCCTTCTTAATCAATTTATATGCCTCTTGAACCCTCCCCTTTTTACAGAGGCTGTCAAAAACTGCATTGTATGTACAGATATTAGGAGCGAATCCTTCTTTTCCCATTATATCCATCAATTCATATGCTCTATCAAAATTCCCAGCTTTGCAATGCCCAGAAACGAGAGTAGTATACGTATTGGTGTTAGGAACTAATCCTTGTTCTTGCATTCTGCTCAATAACATCTCTGCACGGCTCATTTTGTCTTCTTCGCAATATCCACGGATCATGGCAGTATATGTATGTACATTTGGCTTGTAATTATCGCTCCGGACAAGCTTAAGAAACAGCCTGAATGCCCTTTCAGTCCAACCTTTCTTGCAGAGCCCATCAATCAAAGCTGTATGTGTATACACATTAGGCTTCCAACCTTTCCTAACCATTTCCTCCAACATTTCAAATGCTTGTTTAATGCTGCCCCTCTGGCACAACCCATGAATCAAAGATGTGAAATTAATCAAATTTGGCTTCACACCCATCCGAATCATCTTATCAAAGCACCAAGACGCTCGACTTACAAGACCCTTTTCGCAAAACAGACTTATAATCAAAGTAAACGTAGCATTATCCAAAACAAAGCCTCTCTCAAGCATCTTACTCAACCACCTAT